CTTGGAGTGCAAGATTCCCACGATTCTTTACAGTTTCTTGCCTCGTCGCGACGAAGTCGAATTCACTCACATGAGATACACGGCCGTCACCTGCGACCCAGATGACTTTGTCGAACGCGGATACAAGCTTCGCCAGTCAATTGGCAAGACTGCTCGCGAGACGGAACTGTTCATCTGTGTCACCATGTATAACGAGGATGAGTTCGGCTTCACGAGAACCATGTACGCTGTCATGAAGAACATCTCCCACTTCTGCGCCCGTTCAAAATCGCGCACGTGGGGCGACAATGGATGGCAGAAGATTGTAGTCTGTATTGTGTCAGACGGCAGAGAAAAAATTCATCCTCGCACGCTCGACGCGTTGGCCGCAATGGGTGTCTACCAGCACGGCATCGCCAAGAACTACGTCAACCAGAAGGCAGTGCAGGCCCACGTCTACGAGTACACAACACAAGTCTCGCTCGACTCCGATCTCAAGTTCAAGGGTGCCGAAAAGGGTATCGTGCCTTGCCAGTTGATCTTCTGTCTGAAGGAGAAAAACCAGAGGAAGCTCAACTCACATCGTTGGTTTTTCAACGCTTTCGGCAAGGCCCTCAACCCCAACGTTTGCATCTTGCTTGATGTTGGTACCAGACCCGGCGGTACATCTCTGTACCACCTCTGGAAGGCTTTTGACAACGACTCCAACGTTGCCGGTGCTTGTGGAGAGATCAAGGCCATGAAGGGCAAGTTCGGAGTTAACCTTCTAAACCCCCTTGTCGCGTCTCAGAACTTTGAGTACAAGATGTCCAACATTCTCGACAAGCCTCTTGAGTCCATCTTTGGCTACATTACCGTTTTGCCCGGTGCGCTTAGTGCCTACCGATACCACGCTCTGCAGAATGACGAGACGGGCCACGGTCCTCTCAGTCAGTACTTCAAGGGAGAGACACTGCACGGTCAGCATGCAGACGTGTTCACCGCAAACATGTACCTCGCCGAGGATCGTATCCTCTGCTGGGAGCTTGTCGCCAAGCGCGGCGAGAGCTGGGTCTTGAAGTATGTGAAGGGATGTCACGGTGAAACCGATGTGCCAGGTAAGAGATCTAACCCTGCCAAAGCTAATAATTACTCACAACCCCCATAGATACTGTTCCTGAGTTCATCTCGCAGAGACGTCGTTGGCTGAACGGTGCCTTCTTTGCTGCTGTGTACTCACTCGTTCATTTCAAGCAGATTTGGTACACCGATCATACCATCACTCGCAAGATTCTCCTTCACATCGAGTTCATCTACCAGTTCCTGCAGCTCATCTTCACCTACTTCTCTCTAGCAAACTTCTACTTGACCTTCTACTTCGTCGCAGGCGGTCTCGGCGATCCTCTGGTAGATCCCTTCGGTCACAACATTGGTCAATACATCTTTACGGTCCTACGATACACATGTGTCTTGCTCATCTGCGCCCAGTTCATCCTATCGCTAGGTAATCGACCGCAGGGAGCAAAGAAACTATACCTCTTCAGTATCGTCGTGTATTGTATCATCATGATATACACGACGTTCGCCACCTTCTACATCGTCATCCGCCAGCTGAAGGAAAAGGACAACCCTGAGATCCACATGGGTGAAAACGTCTTCACCAACTTCATTGTCTCGATTCTCTCGACTATCGGCTTGTACTTTGTCATGTCCTTCCTGTACCTTGATCCCTGGCACTTGTTCACTAGCGCGGCTCAGTACTTCATGCTTCTACCAGCGTACATTTGCACTCTGCAAGTATACGCCTTCTGCAACACGCACGACGTCACCTGGGGTACCAAGGGAGACAACGTCATGAAGACCGATCTGGGTGGCGCTATCGGAAAGGGCAACAGTGTCGAGCTCGAGATGCCATCTGAGCAGCTTGATATCGACTCTGGCTACGACGAGGCGCTCCGCAACCTCCGCGACCGTGTTGAGGTGCCTCCTTCAGCCATCTCTGAGGCGCAGCTGCAAGAGGACTACTATAAGAGCGTACGTACCTACATGGTGCTCTCGTGGCTTATCTGCAACGCCATTCTCGCCATGGCCGTGTCTGAGGCGTATAGCGAACGCGGCATTGGTGAAAACTACTACCTTGCCTTCATTCTCTGGTCCGTGGCGATTCTGGCTCTCTTCCGCGCCATCGGCTCGACGACGTTTGCCGTCCTCAATGTCGTCAGTATGATTGTTGATGGCCAGGTGCGCATGAGTCTCAAGGTGCCCAAGTGGATGGGCGGATTCGGCGAAAAGGTCAGCGAGAAGATGAGCAGCGTGTCGAGTAGTGTGGGAAGCAGCGTCGGCGGAAGCAAGCTCAGCAGTGTGTTCAAGCGTTGATCCACATCCTATCACCATTGGTGCCGACTGTCGGCGCTTGCTTCTTGCACTATTGCTTTTGCTACATAGACACAGCGTTGGCTTCCTTCCGCTATTTCTTGACAACCGCCACGAGACGATGGGGTTGACTTGCAGCTTTTTTTAGGCGTTTTTGGGTCGTCGTTCCTTCATCTCCTATTGCGAAAAAGTTGCAAGGAGGTAAGTTTGGGAATCGATTATTGTTTGTTGTTCTTCAGAGATATCACATGGGTTTTTGTGTTTTTTGATGCGTCTTGATGAGACGAGACGAGACGAGACGTGATGAGAGCTGATGGCATTGGGAAACGTCTGCTTTTGTTGTAATGAATGAAGAGTGGCATGTCGTGTACGTATTGGATCCCAACGTTTGGGGATTGGGGAACATGAAGCAATGGAGAGGATGTTGATGCAGGATATGTCCGTGAGCGACATGAGCATGAAGAAATGGGAAAGGAAAGATTGAAAGAGTCATGTGTAGATAGATGAGAATTAGCACGAACACAAAAGAATGATGGGAATGATGTCTCGAAGGCGACGTCGGCCTGAGATGCACGTTGTTTCTTCTTTTCATGACATAGAACTGCTTCCGTTTGTTTCCTTTTCATAAGTGAGTGCCGGTTGAATGGGGGTTTGCCCCTAAATGACCAGCTTATTCAGGGTTCCAGACCTCATGCCGATTTTACAGCTCGACTTTCACTAACATAGATCGTCGATGCAACATTCCGCTGGCCTGCTCACATCCAGAGTCGATACCAACACCATTATCTCACCGTCTGCAATCGATCTCGGCTCGATGAGGCGATTCTCACGCTGCAGGTCTTTAAGGTCGCTTACATCCGTCAACTTCGTCTTGGTCTACCCGACGCGCTCGGGGCTGGCGAGACGCTCCTCCAGGACCATCTGGTCGCTGGACGGACTCGCCCAGTAGTGAGAAGATTCCCCGGAGAAGGCGGCACCTTCGTCGACATCTTGCGCCGGGTCGAGTCAACCGTGCTTGATATGTCTGATATATCCTTACTTTGTGTATGCTATATTATGACCAGATCTTCGGACAATCTCTTGGCAAAGCCTCGTAGCTAGGTACCCCATATATGCATAGGTTGTGCACTTTGTGAATCATCCCATAATTGTGATTACCATCTGAGCTTGCAAAGCTGACCACTTTCATAACATCAACCAATTTTTTTCTCCGGCTGATTATGTATGGAGGCATCTTGATGTTTAGGTTGATGACATCGTCAACGTCGAGGATGATGGACGCAGACAATTCTCAGTCTTGGCTGAAGTCGAGAGATGGCACCGTCGATTAAGGGGTGGGGAACTACAGCATCGCCGCCAAGGATCGAAATACTTGCATGGCCTAGCCCCCAGACCTTTCGATAGTCGTCTCTGTGCCGAGTATCAGTTTCATTGGAGTCAAACACATGATGGCAATCTCTGCATACCATATACCTATCACCGTCACGGTTCGGCATGTGATGTCTAACTAGTTCCCGTATACAGCTTGCCGCTCAGAGTCAGGTCTATTTACTTGTACCATCATGGGTACGTAGGAGTCTTACTTACTTTAACTGCCCTAACAGAAAACTTCCGAAGCCTTGCAGAGTCGTATAATGCAAGTACCCTGCTGTTCACCGCCTCAAAGTGATCTTGATTTAAGTTGCGTGTGCCTTCAAATGGGACGAATCAGCGGTGGCTCCTTCAGGCTTGCTGCCGATCACACATCACATATCACGACAAACCTGCGGCCGCATCAATGAACACGCATTAGGTCATGGTCTGGACCAAAGGCCATAGACCAGATACGAAGTACCGCTTGGCAAATGCTGTGCTTCACGAAGATGGGAATGTGTCTCAAGCGTTCGTGTGTGAGGCTGAGACCAAGAGACTAGCTTGGAGCTGAATCTCTCATCAGTGACTGTGATGAATTATGAGAATTTGAAGACTCAGTATGCACTGTATAGATCTAGGTCACTATTCTCACCCATTGCTACTTGCAATGATGCTTCCTAGAATGGTTTGTCACCATTAGCCCATTCCATCCAAGAATAGTCTAACTTTTTGTTCCTATTCATGGCTCTTAATTACTAGATCTTTCACGATATTCCATAGTCTAGAATGAAGATGCTCGCACGGAAGAAGCGAGCATTTGAGAGCTTCAACAAGCCCCCTCCCTCTCCGGCATCTCCCCCGCCTTTCCTCGCCTCGGGCTGGACCCCCGAATGTCTTGATGCATCTTGAACACACCGCTCAGTCTAGACAAACTGATATGCTCTCACACATGTCATTTTTGGGGTCGAGATGTGATTGAGAGCCACAGCTGGAGTGAAGTGGCTGGCTGGAGGCTGATCATGCACGCGACGGGCCTACCCGAGATGGCGAATGTGAGACAGAAACGGCCGAGGCGTGCTGAATGCTGAGCATCAACGGCATCCCACTCATGCCAAAGGACTTCTATCGGATAGTGATGGGCTTGGAATAATCACAAAGTTGACACAAAAGATGACATAAAAGCTGGCCGCTTCCCTTTCAACCTATCCTCACGAACATCGCCCTCAGATCATTACGATTATCTTGTCACCTCAATCTTACCACAAAGCCTCAGCACAACTACCCAAGTCAGTTACGCAACTGCCCCAATTCTCAACATGTCTTCCGACGGAAACAACGGCCCTGTCATTATCAAAGGCATCCACGATGGCTTCGAAGGAGGTATGACTTCTCCATGTAACATGTTCAGACCATGCTTTTTGACGCTGATAATATCAAGGCGAACCATCCATGCGGTTGGAGCTGCGCGACATGGTCGAAAATCACCCGGACCAATGGAACCTGTTCCTCCTGGGACTAGAGCGGTTCCAAAAGGTTGACGAGAAAGAACCGCTCTCGTATTTCCAGATTGCTGGTAAGATGCCCCCCTCTCTACGCTACTTTAGGTCTCTAAGCCCAGCTTCAAGGTATCCACGGTTTGCCAGCCCAGAAATGGCCGAATGCTGATTGGAACAATGTGGGTTCGCAATTCAACGAAGACAAGTTGAAAGATGTGTTTGGTGGGTACTGCACCCACACTTCCATCTTGTTCCTCACGCGGCATCGTGTCTATCTCGCTTTGTTCGAGTTAAGATTATACATAGCTAAAGCTAATTCCATTGCACTGATGCTAAACTTGCCATTCTAGGGAGAGCTGTACAAGCATGTCAATTACATTGCATCTGAGTTCGAGAAAGATGGGAAGACGAAGTACATTAAGGCCGCCAAGACCTTTCGACTGCCTTACTGGGATTGGGCGCACCCTGAACTTCCATTATATCCGGATGAAGCTCTCTCAGCAACGGAACACACTCCAGAGAGACCCAACAGTCAGAAGGGAAAGCTCGAAGAATTTTCTTACAAGATGAACCCGCTGGCCCGATATAAGTTCGGAGAGTATTCCCGGTCTCAGAAGAAGCAGAAACCCGAACTTCCCGGCGGCGACTTTGACATAATTCTGGTAATTTTTATCGATGCTCTCATAGAACTTTGACTTACTCCTATCCTCTAGAAAGGAAAAAAGCTTGAAACCTCGAGAACCTTCGGTAGTCTCAGTGACCCCGAAGAGAAGAAGGCTCTCATTGAGAAGTTGAATAGCCGCGATGTCGGCGCCAAGGGTATGAACGTGTCTGAGAGAATCATCTTCCTTCTTCAGTCGTATACGGACTTTGGTGCCGTGTCAAATAACAAGGCATTTGGCAATAAGAAGGATCCTCAATTCGAAAATTGGGGTAGCATCGAAGATGCCCACAATGCTGTCCATGTATACATTGGAGGCTACATGGGTGACGTCAGGATCGCTGCTTTCGACCCCATCTTCTGGCTGCACCACGCCAACATTGACCGTATCTTCGCCATATGGCAGGCCTGCAATCCTGGGAAATACGTTACACCGCAGTATCCGACCGAAGACACCGTTTTCCGGGCGAAAGACGTGAAGGAGGACAAAGACACCTCATTGCCTCCGTTTGCTCATGCGGTGAAGGAGGATGGCAGCCAGGTCTTCTGGACATCAGTCGGAGTGGAAAACACCAAAGATCTCGGCTACGTCTATCCGGAGACTCAGAGCAAGTTTAAGACTAGGAAGGACGTTCTCAACGAAGTCGATCGTCTTTACAAGAAAAGAGCCTCCTTCGCCAACATCTTGCGAACCCAGCCAACAGAAGCTCGTACTTTGCGTGCGCTTCAGGACCGTGCCAAGGCCCATTTGGGGGTCTCTAGCACCGAGGACGTTGAACTCCCGGCCGGTCGCGACCTCCGCAATTTGGCAGTCGGCAACAAGTATCTCGAATGGCTGGTCAACATCAGAGCCAACAAACACGAGCTGGATGGCAATTACATTGTCAATATCTTCATCGGTGATCCCTCGGCCAGCACGCATCCTCTTCTGTACATGAAGGACCACGCTCACGTCGGATCTTTCGCCACCTTCGGTCAGGACGAACACAGCTCGTGCGAGAACTGCAAGAAAGGTCGCGAAGAAGATCAGAGAATCACTGGCCAGATCCCTCTGACCATCGCTCTTGTCGAGCGGTACTTGGCTGGACAGATCGAGAGCCTTGCACCTGAGCACGTGGTTGCGTACTTGAACGACAACATTCGATGGAAGGTTACGCTTCCCAATGGAGAGCTGAAGTCGCCGGGGGACCTGAGCAACCTCCTTGTTTGCGTTGTATCGAACGAGGTCACTTTCAACCCCAATGACCCGACGGCGGTTCCAAAGTATTCGGAAGAGGTCATTGCTTACGAGAATATCACCAACGATATTCCTGAGTCCTTCAATACTGGTTATAATGGCGGCAATTACTAGGAAGGTGGAGGCTTGACGATGAACGCTGATGGTGAACATAGACTGCAGTCTGGTGAAATTAGTTGTGAGCTTTTGGACGTGGCTTCGGAGAATGGGGGATTCTGTAACGCGCCTATCGAGTACAAAAAAATTCAGCATAGCCTGAACATGAATTTTTCATGGTGTCTCTTGGTTTCATGCTATCTGAAGAAGTTTTTCGTTGAGGTTGGCTGCCACGTACCTATCGATCCGGACTTGTGATAGCGAATTGGCAGATCTTTTCTGCTGAGATCATCTCTCTGTAGTAATTATTATGACTATCTTCCGCTTGCCTTGCGCATACTTTTCGACACAAGACTGCCATGTGACTTGCGCCGGAAGCCCAAAGGGTATATGTTTCCGTCGGCTCTGACGACGATGCTTTCCGCACCCAACAGCAAGTGGTTCTGGTTGATGGCATCGGGATGTGGGCTGTAAAGATTCCGAAACAATAGTGATTATTCTTGAAATACTCCTTCTGGTAGATTAAAGGATACACATTCCGCGTAGAGGTCAAGCGTAAACTAACTCACATGCCCACCTGCTGCTCTCCGTGTTGCCTTTCCATAGGCCAGTGGCCACCCCTTTCACATTCTCCCTTGCCCTATACCTTAATTCTGGGCAGTCCTCGCCTGTCTGGCAAGCTGTAAATGACAACCAGATTAGTATTTCTCGGCCAGATCAAGTAAGGAAGCTTGTCCGCCGAAATCCGTGATTGGCTGAACCTAGCTCGGACTAGCCCCACTGAAACCATCGGCCCAAATCCCGGCCGTAGATCGGAGGTGCCCCCACAACGGCCTCCGAGAGACAGCGCTAGAACGGTGCTCCCGTTCTTCCCTCTCACGGCAACATCCGCCACCAAAAGAAAGAAGTGGCTAGAATCTGAAGAAAGCTGGAGAAGGCAATTACACTCGGCCGGTGGATGGAGAGACAAATTCATCATCACTAATACCCACAACCCGTTGGCCGAATCGGTCCCGTGATGGGAGTTGGCTGTGTGTCGGAACACACTGAGCAGATTTTAACTAGCATTCGTGGGTTTTGCCTAGCCCCATTTCCAAATAACCCCAGAAGCTTTGTGGGGTTGTACCGAAGTAAAGTTTACTGTTGTGGCTTGTGGTCACGTTTTTCCCGGCGGACTTTGGATCTTTTTTTATCAACTTTGGTCAGGGGTCATAGAGCTGTGGAACCTTCATAGACATGTTTATGCTCTTTGCTGGGATGAAATTGACCAGAAACGTCAGGTGGTGTTGGATATTAGCCTGGACTTCACTCATGCCACTGCGAGTGTCTTGCACTGCTCCTAGCATCCCTTATGAGTGGCCCCTAGATTTCACTCTTGGGTTTACGGTGTCATCTTGTCCCCTATTCAGATAGAATCATGCAGAAGAGAACTGCAACAAGAATTTGGCGCATTACTGAGACATTATGCTAACTGATACGTTCTCGAAGTCAGGTGCCAGACCGGGAGCTTAATGTCTTTCGTGAATCGTCAAGCTGTATTCGAATTAGCCTCAACGCCGCAACACGTTTCCTTCCACGTCCTGTGGAAGACGCGTCACAAATCAGACTACACTGCATTCAAAGATTGTCCAGGACCAGTGTGACGCGGCATACCGGTGGTCAGGGTACCAAGGATCATTGGACGAACCAGAAAACAACCCTCCAAGCGTCGGGAGTTGGATCCCCACCCGAACAAGGTTCGTCCGGACCATCAGCCCTACCGTCATCTCTTCCATTCACGCTAGCTGTGACTGACGTAAACTGAACCTTTGGGAGTAGGTCTCCACGGCCAAACTGGGGTCGATGCGAGCATACGGCTCGCACGTCTATACACTGCGCCCCGGCGCTATGAGGCGTACAGACGGACCACGTGTGGAGCCGCGTCTACTATGGCAACGCCGTCGCCGAGGACTCGGGAACCGCAGCATCGGGATAAGTTTTCAAGCTTGTTATAAAGATGTCTGCCCGGGCACAATGTTGCTGATTGTTTTAGGAGGCATCACCGCCATCATTCGCTCTCTCTTCTCTCATTCACTCACTTGTCTTTCCTCCACACCGGCTTGAACTTCCACACCGGCTTGAACTTCATATCCTTCTAATATGTCTAAGTACTCCAAGGCGGCTCTTCGCGCTTTGGCGGCCAGAGCCAGCACATCCTCCCTGGCAGATGTGTGCACTGTCGAGCACGTGCAGAACGCTTTGCCTTCCAACGGAACTCTTCTTGGCATCGATCTGGTTCCCTCTTCCGTCACTGCCAGCCCGGTCTACAATGCCACCAGCGGCGGTGGCATGATGGGCGGCAGCAGCACCCCCCTCACATACTGCAACGTCACCGTGGCCTACACCCACACTGGCAAGGGCGACACCGTCAACCTGAAGTACGCCTTCCCGAGCCCCGACGTCTTCAAGAACCGCTTCTACGTTGCCGGCGGTGGCGGTTTCTCCCTCTCCTCCGACTCCACTGGCGGTATCTCATACGGTGCTGCCGGAGGTGCCACTGATGCCGGCTACGACGCCTTCAGCAACAGCTACGATGAGGTCGTCCTCTACGGAAACGGCTCCATCAACTGGGATGCTACTCACATGTTCGGGTACCAGGCCCTTGGCGAGATGACCCAGGTTGGCAAGGCCATCACCAAGGGATTCTACAGCATGGGCGCCGACGACAAGGTCTACACCTACTATGAGGGCTGCTCCGACGGTGGCCGCGAGGGTATGAGCCAGGTCCAGCGCTGGGGTGAGGAGTACGACGGTGTCATCGCCGGTGCCCCGGCCTTCCGCTTCGCCCAGCAGCAGGTCCTCCACGTCTACTCGTCTGCCGTCGAGCATACCCAGGACTACTACCCGCCTCCCTGCGAGCTGGCCAAGATTGTCAACTCCACCATTGCCGCCTGCGACGGCCTCGACGGCCGTGTCGACGGCGTCATCTCCCGCACTGACCTCTGCAAGCTCCAGTTCGATCTGAAGTCCACCATCGGCGAGTCTTACTACTGCGCTGCGAAGACGAGCAGCTCGCTCGGCTTCGGCTTCAACAAGAGACAGGCCCAGGGCAGCACCACCAGCTACCAGCCTGAGCAGAACGGCACTGTCACCGAGCAGGCCGTCGCCGTCGCTCAGGCTATCTACGATGGTGTCTTCAACTCTCAGGGTCAGCGCGCCTACCTCTCCTGGCAGATTGGTTCCGAGCTTGGCGACGCCGCTACGGTTTACAACAACGAGACCGACGCGTGGGAGCTCAGCATCCCCTCCACCGGCGGCGAGTACGTTACGAAGTTCGTCCAGCTCCTCGACCTCGACAACCTCTCCGATATGAACAACATCACCTACGACACCCTCGTCGAGTGGATGAACACCGGCATGATCCGCTACCTCGACAGCCTCCAGACCACCCTCCCCGACCTGACCCCCTTCCAGTCCTCGGGTGGCAAGCTCCTCCACTACCACGGCGAGTCCGACTCCAGCATCCCCGCCGCCTCCTCCGTTCACTACTGGCAGTCCGTCCGTTCCGTCATGTACCCCGACGCCAAGGATGAGGAGGCCATCAAGTCCCTCGAGAACTGGTACCAGTTTTACCTGGTCCCCGGCGCCGGCCACTGCGGCACCAACAGCCTCCAGCCCGGCCCCTACCCCCAGAACAACATGAACATCATGATCGACTGGGTCGAGAACGGCAACAAGCCCAGCCGCCTCAATGCCACTGTTACCTCGTCCACCAACGTCAACGCTGGCGAGACCCAGATGCTTTGCCAGTGGCCTACTCGTCCCGTCTGGCGCGGCAACAGCTCCGACTTTGACTGCGTCAACGACGTTAAGTCCATCGACAGCTGGACCTACACCTTCCCTGCTTTCAAGGTTCCTGTTTACTAAGTGCCCGCTGGATGATTCTTCAAAAATCGGGCTCTTTCTTTGTCATCTGAGACCGGAATGAGAGACAGGATGTAGGAAGAGCGCTGCATCAAAGTTTGTTTCATTCGATATCGCTCTGGGGCATGTGACAAATAAGCCCGGGACGAGACTGTACATAGCTTAGCTTTCATTTCAGTATATACATATTTGCAAAGAACTCCAACATTGATGGCCAAGTCCGCATACAGTCTCGCAAACGTGATGAGAGAGTTGTCAAATCGCTGTGATCCTGTCATCGCCCGTCTCCTTATTGACACTCACAGCAACCTGATCGTCTTCCTTGGCGTCCGAGTTGCTTTTGGCTTTCAATTCCACTGAAGACGCCTCGCCAACTTCGGACTGGGTGCTCGTCTCCTCGTCAGTGGACCCAGTGTCGTGCTTCTTATCCCTTTTCAAATAGTAGTGCATGATCCAGGTGAACATTATCAACGCGATTGCGCATCCTAAACAGAACGAGAAGCCCTTCCTGTACCTCGGCGACTCCACCGTCGGAAACGTGAGCAAGGGCGTCCACGCCGTCGAGCTTTGCGATAGCAAGTTAATGAGAACCAGAGTAAAGCTTCGTTCCTCGGGGCTGTCTCGCAGCAGGTTGTTGACCCATCCGTGGAAGACAGAGGACAGAGCATTCGACCAATACATGGTCGCGAATCCGAACCAAAGACCACCTTCGGGAACAGTCCATATCGTCAGGAAGATGAGACCTATGGCGTTGAGGACCGAACAGATTGTGATCGACCAGGCCGGGCCGAGGAACATATCCGAAGCGAAACAAGCGATGAGCGTGTACGCGATCCCCAGCGCGGGGGAGATTGTACCCAGCTCGTTGATACGAGCAGCGCTGTACCGTCCAAGACTCTTGATCCAGAGTAGGTAAGAGCCCGTGTTCTTATGGATGCCCGCGTTCCAGAAGAGGACGTCGGTCGTGATGACGAGCCAGAAGCGGAAGCCGAGGAGGGTACGCTTGATGTGGCCAAACTTCATTTTTCCGTGCAGGACGTGGCCGTGCTTCTCGAGGCGTTCGCGGGCGGTCTCGATGTCTTTGTCGTTGACGCACCACCTGTTGGGCTGATCGATGGTGCCGGGGATCACGAAGAAGCCGAAGATGCCGACGGGGATGGTGATGAGGGCACAGATGATGTACATCCATCGCCAGCCTTCCATGCCTGTGGTTTTTTCCCTCATCAGCTACTGTAGATACAATCAGGGCGGCCTGGATGATGATTGTACATACCGTGGACTCCTTCGAGTGAGCTTGATGCGCCGGCTTGGATGAGGCCGGCTGTCAATGTGCCAGCAGCGAGACCGGTGTAGAAGATGCCGCCGCGACGAGCAATTTCATGGCCCCGATACCAAGAGCCTAGGCCAAAGTCAACGATGCTGTCTTGAGAGTAGAAGAGTCTAATCCGTACCAAAGACGTAATGCATTGCTGGGAAGAATGCAGCTTCAAACCAGCCAACCATGAATCTGTAGGCGGCCAGTTCTGCGTAAGAATGGACGCGATACTGTAGAAGCGTGAAAACTCCCCATAGAACGTCGCAAATTGGGATGAGATATTGGATTGGGACATAGGTCATGATGAATCTGAATTCCTGTTAGCATATAACAGCAGATCCTGAGAGCATCATCCATACAAGAAAGGGATCTGGCCTAAGACCGATCCAAGAGTGAACAGCGTCTGGAGCTGAACAAGCTCGTTTCCATAAAAACCGAGATCTTCCTTCATACCAGCGACGTAGGCATTATTCAAGTTGGATTGGTCGACATATTTGACCCAGTAGCCTTTGGAGCTGGATGTTAGCCAGATAGCCAGGAGACTACATGAGAGATCATACCGAGGACCGAGTAAGGCACCAAGAGAAGGTCAATTTTCGTGATGAGGCGCCTCTCCTCCTTCGTATCATCTGGTGAGAACCATCTCCACTCCCACCACTTGTCTCTTGGGACCGACTCTTTCAGAGCAGATGACATCGTTGCAAAGTCTTTGAGGCACTCGACCAGAGACTGCTAGGATAACAACGATCGAGAATTGAGGTAGGTCAAGTCATACTTGCTCGACGAAGGAGACTCAGCGGATTGATAAATGAGAGACGTAAACGGGCCGGGAGCCCTTGTTCAAAGCTGTATCCCACCCGGAAGTTGCCCGCTATTGCGCAATTCTTATTGAGCTCCTGAGCAGCAGCATCTGGTTCAGCAATTGATGGATGGTCGTAGTGAATTCGGCCGATGCGGCCAAAAGTGGGCTGGTAGTATCGTCAAGCTGTGGGAAGATAGAACATTTGAACTGCCAAGAAGATGGGATTTTGCGATATCGGTAGAGAGCTTTATCGACCAGGTACTTATGTGTTTGGATTGGCTGGCCATCCTGCAAGTTAGCTGACAAAAGCCAGGCGAGGCAATGGTGTGCTGCAACCCCACAATGGTGATAGACAACCTTGCTTTGACGTCTTTCGAACTTGAACCTCATTCGACGAGTAGAACGCTGTAAATAACCGAATATGGCCCATGTAGCGTAAAAGGTTCGGATCTTGTGTGGAAGGAATTTGGTCATTCGGTGTGAAAGCCGAGCCTCAGTTTGCCGGGGGCAAGGTCAAATCAGGTCTATTCCTCAACAAATTTATAAATGCGACCGTTCTCTACCTCAACTCTGACTCAACGCGCAAAGACCGGGTAACAACAACGGGCGGCACAGTGACAACTTCGGTAGCGTTCATCTTACCACCTCTGAAGGCATACGTAAAAGTCCACCCGGACCCAGCACCGCCGTGTTCACCCTTGTTGTTGACAACCACAATGCCGCTCGACACGGCCGGGTACTTCTTAACCATACGAACCACGGCATCTCTCGCCGCCTCCTGGGGGCTCATTCCCCTTCGCATGCTCTCCACAGCCTGATAACAGGGCAAGAAGCGCATCATGATGTCGCCGTCGCCAGTCGCGCCGCATGCCCCAACGTCACCGTCAACGTAAGAACCGGAACCTGTAATCGGACCGTCGCCGACGCGTCCCGGTACCTTGAAGGAGGCTCCATTGGTAGAGGTGCCAGCCGCCATGACCCCGTTCGTGTCCAGAGCCATCATGGAGATCGTATCGTGTGACGCCTGCGCCGAATTTGGGGCAATGAGGTCAAAGTAGCCAGACGAGCTGGAGTCGAGCTCCACGGGCGTGTACGGCCCGCACGCGGCCTTGGGATCCGGCGTGACGTTCTGCCTGTAATTCGACTGGCAGTTTCCGGCCCGCCACGCGGCGCACCGCTCCGCGGAGGCCTCGGTAGTTAAGCTCTCGGCGACGAAGCCGTTCTCAATGGCGAATTCCGTCGCGAGGTCGCCGGCCAGCATGGTGTGCGAGGTATACTCAAGCACGTGGCGAGCGACGCCAATGGCATTCTTGACGCGGCGCAGGGCGGCGACGGAGCCGGACTTCATGGTGACGCCGTCCATGATCATGGCGTCAAGGGTCGTCTCGCAGTTCTCGCCGGGGGAACCGCCGAAGCCGACGCTGCCGTCGCACTGGTTCGCCTCGCAGGTCGCGCAGCCGATCTCGACGGCGTCGAGGGCCGACGTGCCCGGCTTGACAAGTGCCTGATAGGCGGCATCCGTGGCTGCTGTGAAGGGGCCGCCCCAGGTGTTGATGACCATGGGGAACCCCGGCGATGCTTGGCCGAGGACGCGGTGGCCGGTGAGGAGGGAGAGGATGAGTGGGGCGAGGGTGCGGGGGCGGAGGTCCGGCATTGTGAGTGGCTTCCGGAGGTTAAGCCGGGTTAATAATTGAAGGTCCAAGAGGAAGAGGAAAGATACTCAATGGCTAGATAGCATGAGCTTGGCGGCTATTTGCCAGAATGAGTGACGATGGCGCAAGTGGGATGAGATGAGACTGGCCGACCGGTTTGCGGAGGGAGGCTTTAATAAAGAGCACGGTCGCTCAAACCACCGCGCCGGTGTTGGTGTTGTTTACCCCGCGCGATAGGCTGATCTGCGCCGATAGACAGGGGTCCAGGGGGCATTTGAATGCTGGATCCGAAGCGGATAAAGGTTGGAATTGCAGTGAATACCACGTTACTCTTGAGTTGCCAAGCAAAAGCCAATGTCGCGCTATCAACCTTCCTTTCTGAGCATCATGAGGAGGAGGTTGGCGATGCCAAGGAAGGGTCTTATGTGCGATGGCGACGGTCAAGTTAAAGCGTAAGTGTTAGACCATGATCTCGGTCTTGAGAAGAGCGAATCAAGCTGACTACGATGTCTGCCAATTGCCGCAGTTGAGTGTGTGTGTGTGAGAGAGTGAGAGAGAGAGGGTTAGGTTGATGGCATTTGTTTGATCTTGTCTATGAGCTGGCAGCACAGGACCAGAGGCTTGAGCTTAAAGACATTACTCATAACATGTCTGCGCAGAAGTCCTTGACCGCATCCAGAACACGGTTGATATGCTCCTCCCCATGAGTAAGGTTGAGCGCAAGGAACCCACGACGTCCAACATAAATCCTCTTGCTGAGAAGGTAAAAGAAGAAGAGGTCCTGCAACTTGCCTGCCGAAGGACCCTGGAAGTGCAAGCCAATAGCACTCCCAAAACCAGTGAGTTTGACAATGGACGCGTCCTTGGACCCAAATACCTCACGAAGCTCGTCACGAAGCTTGTTTCCCAGCTCATTGTTCCTCTCAAGTGCCTCCCTCGACAAGAGCTTGGTAGCAGCGACACCCGCCGTCATGGAAAAGACGTTGTTGTTCCACGTTCCCGAATGAAAGAGACTCCGCGGCCCCTGCGGATCGTACAGGTCCATGATTTCCTTGCGCCCGCCGAATGCGCCAAACGAGAATCCTCCGCCAAAGTGCTTGCCGATGGTGGTCATATCAGGCGTGATGCCGTAGATCTCTTGCAGGCCGCCGTAGTTGAGTCGCGAGGTGATGACCTCGTCAAAGATGAGGATGGCGCCGATGCGCGTGGCTTCGTCGCGGAGGAATTGGAGAAACTCTTCTGACCCCTCAAGCATGCCCGCTGCGCCTTGCATAGGTTCCACGATGATGATGCCGATATCGTCGGTGATTTGCGAACGGGTGTACTCGATGTCGTTGTACCGGCCGTATGCAAAATCGTGGGGAAGAATCAGCGGGTTGTTAGGCGTGAAAGCCAAAGTGCCGCCGTGATAACCATCCTCAAACACCAAAACCTGAGCGTGAGAGATGATTTAGCGAGAGATCTCCGGCTCAAGAGACTTTAACAACCAACCTTCTTTCTTCCGATGAAGTGCAAAGCTGTACCAATTGCCATGGTGTTCGCTTCAGTTCCCGAGTTGCAAAATCTGATGGCATCGACGCTTTGGAACCTCTCAACGAGCAGGGCTGCCAATTCGCCCTCCTTGGGGCTCGGTCCGCCCAGTGTAAATCCCGACTTGGTAACGCTGTTGATCGCGGCGATGATGTTTGGGTGAGAGTGGCCAAACATGCCGGCGCAATACTCCGATACGAAATCGAGGTACTCGACGCCGTCCACGGATATGAGGTGACAGTCGTGGCCTCCGGAGAAAGCCAACGGGAAAGGCAGGTAATGCAGAACGGATCTGGTCGTTCCTCCAGGGAGCGATCCGGAGGCTGTCTTGTTGACTTGGAGCGAGCCCTGGTTTTCTGCGACATACTTGTCCACGTACGCATTCAGTTGCTGCTCGATCTTCACCGCAGGCTGAGCTGCCTCCCCGTTTTGTTGAAGTTCTACCATGATTTCTCGGTTGCGCAGTACACAAAGTTTAAAGATGTTACACGTCTTGCTGATGAGTCTTTCGTCGAGGAATAAGAGGAGACAGAAACATTCGCATGCCTTCCTAAACAATTGATGAGTTAAATACTGGCGAAATTTGCCGCGGAACTAGGTCCGATCTGACGCTTCTGTCAATCTTTTGCGTTCTTCGTGGACTGTAGATAAGATGAACCCCGCTCGGGTATGCGACATCGGGATGCCGAATCATGTTCGGAAATTTGAGTCAGCCAAAATCTCGGGAAAGATGCACTAGCCAAGGGCTCATACCCGAAACTGGGGAGACTTCTTCCACGTATAGCTTGAATTGATTCTCAAACCTCAGTGTCCTGTCGATAAAGATGTCTGACCTGCCATGTTCCTTTTCCGAAAGCGAAATGAGTTGTTAGCCGACAGACTGCTTGGCAGCATGGGGTGGGTGTCAGGTTGTGTGCTGCTTACCATGTCTGGGAGAGGAGGCCTATGAGCCAATGGTTTTACACGATTTCTCCCCGGACCCATGTGTCAAACACTTCGTTTTCGCCAAGACTCGGCAATCATGTTGCTTGATGTACGGCAAAAGTAGGTCGATTTCATCCTTGTATTGAAGGGAAGAGGAGGGAGACGTGAGATATCTTCGAGGTGCGCAGGTGTGGAACTGGGTGGACTGTTGATGCCGCCTCTAACACTGCTATTGAATGTAAATCTATGTAATTCTATCCTGCTTTTTTAGCCCAAACTATGATGTTAAACTCCCTTTCGCAGAATCACCAAATCATGCACGCTCAACGCTACAGACTTATGATAATGCATCGACCGGTAGGCGTCACAGACGCGGCCTCACCAAGCCACAAAGTGTGACGACTAATGCAACGCAGAGACCTTGCGGCCTCACGCCTTCTCGTTGTTCGACATCTTCTCCCTCATCCTTGCCGCCCTCCAAGTCTGTCCCCAGTACCAGTGTATCACCGCCAACGGACCAACAGCGACCGTGACAAGAGCCAAGCCCAAGAACGCGGCCCCAGGCCCCGTAGTAGCGACAAAGTTGTCAACCAGCGCAACGCCGATGGCACCCAAGCCGCACCTGACCAAGTTGTTTATCGCGGTGGCACTGGCTCCCTTTCCGGGACACAGGTCGGTGACGAGGGTCTGGTTGAGGGCAAAGACGGCGTTACTGGTCGCAGCGATGAAGAACTGGAGAACGAGTGGGACTGCGATCCAGCCTGATCGGGAAGTGATAGAGGGGAAGTTGAGGGAGAGGCCGTAGCCGCCGGTGGAGGCGACGAAAACGAGGACGATCCAGGGAAGACGACGGAGGCGGGCGCGCTCTATGGGGAACTCGGCGGGCATATTCTTTCCTGAGAGCTTTTCTGTTCCTGCTATGTTATGAGATGTCTTATACTCTTCTTCCATCTCGAGATAGTCTTTTGTCATTAGCTTGCCCACGATTGCGGACCCAACAATGGTTCCAAGTCCTGTCCTGCATGTAAGCGAGTCTCCTTTTTTGGAAGAAGTAAGAAAAGATGAAGGAGGGAAGGTTGCTTACCATTAGGTAGAAATGCGAGACCGGTTTGCAGGTCACTAAGTCCAAACAACTCCTTAAACAGGATGGTGGTGCTTGACGTGACCATAGTCCATATGGTATAGACCACGCCACCGAAAACCAAGTTGATCAGAATGTCCTTCTGAATCAACAGCCGTAATGGTTCCACAAATGTCATCAATGTCACCTTCTTCCGCGGAATGGGTTCATCCGGGTCTTCGAGGTACTCTGGCTCCTTGCCAAGGTACCATATGATCGGCTTGTAAATGCCCCCCAAACGAAGCGAGCCGTTCCCGGCAATGCTCCGCATGGTTTCAGGCAGCCAAAACACAATCACCAAGGTGACTATAGAAGAAAGGATCAGGAGAAAGACAAAGATGGACCGGAACCCGAGGAAGTTGGCGAGCAGGCCGCCGAGCACAGGCCCGACTGCTATGCTGAAGTTTCGGACTACGAGGTGTTAGCTCCGAGCTCACCAGGAGATAAAACCGAGCCACCGAGCAAAACACCGTAATGCTAGTGAAACAGCGATAGGGCCCATAGTGACTTACTCGCCTGGTAGAAACTAATAAAGGCTCCCCGTTCAGCCGGGGGAGAAATATCCTGGATCACGCCGTTTCCTGTTGCACAGGTCAGTAAAAGGAATTACGACGACTTTTTCTTGGCTAAATTTAGAGATCCAAGGGAGAAAAAAAAAAGGGTTGTATTTTCCCGTGTGTAACTTACCAATGCTCACGGTGGAGGCACTTCCGGCGGCTTGTAAGCCCCTGAAGATCAGAAGAACTGTGAAATTGGGAGAGAAGCTGAGTCCGATGTTGGCAATGATGTACACGGCGAACGAGGCGATGTAGATTGGCCTTCTGCCCAGAGCATCCGAGATCGAGCCCCAAATCAACGGGGAAATGCCCTGGATGATCAAGTAGGATGTGATGGTCAGAGAAACCATCTGCGAGCTGACATTGAGATCCTGTGAGATTTTGTGAATTAGAGAGTTTCCGAGGATTCCGGGAGAATGAACAGGACTTACCCGTGCGATCGTATCGAGAGCTGGGAAATAGATGTTGGAAGAAAGACCAGAGAACAGTCCGGCGGCTCCGATGATGACGATAACAACCCATTTCTGCTTTTTCGTGAAGACGTGGTAAGGCGGTTCGGGTTCCAGCTCCTGAACGGCTGTTCCCTCATCGCCACTGCTGTTATCGTCGAACGGGTTCTGAACTTCACGCGGAGCAGAATGCCCTTCTATTGAGTTTTGGTCCGCAAACGGGTCGCGGAACTCAGTGCCGTGGGGACCATTCTCGCTCTCCGTGATGGAAGGTAATGAGTTCGGCCGGCCGAAGAAGATGGACGAGTTGCTGCTGCGCGAGCTGGCAACGCTGAGGCTCCTGCTGAGAGATCTCGAGCGGCCTCGGACAGACGTCCTCGTTGGCGAAATGTACTCGTCGTGGTCTCGGTCTTGAGAGAGTTCAGTGTCGCTTGTGAGAAGATGCAAGCCACCCATAGCTGTGGCGGAGATCCGTTTAGCTATGCTGGGTCTGGCGGCTCGAGACTCCAAGGTCTCACTGCTAGGACGTTCCATGGCGGCGAGGAGTTTGGCGATGCTGCTTGAACGCCTTCGACTGAGATGTCAAAATGAAGGTCTTGCCGTTCTCTTTTTGGTCTGAAGAAAGATACGACGATTTCCAAGAGGAACCACTCTTGATGATATTTGACAGATACTCTCTCTCTCCACGGGAGACCCGATTATCCACAAACCGAGCACAGTTCACTCTCAGAGTAACACTATCTGAGGCCAAGACATTTGCGGAGTTCATTTTCAGACTAACACCGGCTCTTGCAGCAGAATTCCTCAACTTCAGGAAGATGGGGCCATGGCCGCCCTGGGGTTCAACGGCAACCAGTTGCCGACGTCACGTCAAGACACATCATCCCACACAGCCCGCAGATACTGCCAAAAATAAGTTTAGTGAACTGGCGCAAGGTTTATTGAGCCTCGAGAGTTCTTGATCGACCAAGGGTGATTTGCGGCTAGGCCACGTCCCGGGGCGAAGGGGCCGCAAAAGATTAGAGCTGACTCTGGACCCAATGCCCTCTGAACCAATTGGGTTATACGCAAACCCGCGCTCGCTACGGGATGTTACTGGTCCGTTGTCCAGTAAGCGTGAAACTTGTTCCAGGATGTTGCGCCGAGCCTAAAACGCCTGCCGGGCTGATAGGTTTTGCGGCGGCAGGTTGTGAAGTATACACGTCCGCACCCGCGCAGGGAAGTCTCAGACGAAGATGGAAAGAGGTAGAGAAAATGGAGAGAAAGCAAAGACAATCAATGCCAAGAATAGACAATCCCTGCGACAGCTTGTGCACGATATGTCAATGACAACAACAAGAGGCCGATATCTACGACAGGCGACCCCCTCCGGATCCCACTCTCCCACATATGCCTCCAAGATCTGCCACAGTCCCCTCATGACGCTCAAGCCCTCCCTTGATCGGTCCACCACGTGCATTCAGCTAAGCAACTGATAGACCGGCTACTTTACCGTTGCCAAGTCCTTTCAAGAGAAGTCCAGTCGTCTCGTCTCAGAAACATGGCACGTCAGCCTCAGAATCTTGGATAGGTATCCCACGGGGTCCACCGAACCCATCGCTCTGGTAGTGACAGTTCATCCGTGTAAGTCAAACGCCCTTCCCGCTCTGGTCTAAAATGACTGAACACCCAAAAACTAACATTCTCTTCACAGCCAACAACCACACAGACTTACAGCTAAGCTGAACAAAATGGTTGGTCTTTCGATGAACCGTAGGAGAGGTCCTCCTCCCAAGCTTCGGCTCGACATTCCTCAAGACCAAGATCAAGAACAGCATCAAGAACGAGCCGTCAAGTCGCCAGGACCTCTGACGCCGAACAGACCCCTCATAGGCTCTGATATTCCTATACTCCCAGCCCCTCAACGAACCACCATAACATCTAGTCATGCTTCCTTTCCATCAAATGGCCCAGCAGATACGCTTCCTCAGATCCCAACGACCACTCAGCCTGCGGTCTTACCCTCATCAAGCGCACCACCAAGGGTTATTACTCCTCCATCAACGCCAATCTCCAGCGCACCTCCAAAGTCACCAACTCTTCGCCCAAGCGTGTCGATATCAAAAACTACAGTGTTCATCACAACAACGAGACCTCAATCCTCAGTCCTTCCAAGCCCTACAAACACGGTATTTGTCACCGCTGCGCCCCAGACGATCACAGTGACTGCACCATCGGTCCCTCTCCCGTCAAATGACCTCAACGGCGATAGTGGAAGTAAGCCCCAGCCTCAACCTCAACCTCAACCATCAGCCATCGGTTCAACGCAAGGCGTTTCTTTCACCAGTGGATCTGGTGTTGCCGTCCTTGGGGTGCTCGGGGGCATAGGTAAGAGAGACAACTTCGTGGAACCTTATGATCATGCCATGAGCTAACCTGTTTCGAAACAGCGGCGGCATCCGTTCTAGCAATGGCCGTATTGATACTCTGGCGCAAGCGGAAGAATCGCAACAGCATGGGCTCGGGAGGGGTATGAAGACTTTTCGTCCCTGGTTGCTATCTTTCCTGCTAACCTAACCTCGTGATAGATATTGACCGGAAAGTCACAATAGAGAAAATGAATCGTGCTGGGCGGGAGAAAAGTGGCGCGTAGGATGAAGTGTTAACACATGGCCTAACTAGCCTCTATTTTCTTTTCTTGGGTCACTTTGGGAAATTCGGGATCATAGACAAGGCGGCCTCTAGCGAACTACAGCTTTGCCTCCCCAAAGACTATCGTTCAGGAACGAGGGGTTAGATTTTAGCAGTAAATTTCTAGTGTTACAGGGTAATCAAAATCTGAAAAGTTCATTGATAATCACGGTACATCGTCTATTCTCAAACCTCTCTCAGCCGGTAACTGAGTGATTGTCCCCACCACAACTGCTGAACCCTTGTCAAGCTTCGGCCACCTTGAGCTTCCCGCAAACTCGAACAGAAAACATGACGAGAATGTGAACAAGGGTCGGTGGGTAAATCTTTACGCAATGCTCACAGTTGAGCGGTTCTGAGCGGATCACTACATGCAGCAGTGCCCAATTTCTTTGTCAACAATACAACATCGTGGCCCATCGGGAGTGCAATAACTTCTTACGTAGTAGTATCCTCAGCAAGGCATCAACGTCTCTTCTGGGCTGCAGGCTTTGAACAGGGAATGCCAACTACGATTGCTAAAGGCGCCGCCACGATTACACGTGTCAGCGGTTTGGTGCTGAGTATATTGTATCCGTTATCCGCGCATAGATCCTTGCCGTCAAGGGATGCGGCAGCATTGCAGCAACAGTTGCATCTACATTGGTTGTGGAGTCTGAGCGAAGCTTGTCTCCTGAGCTTTCGTATTCTAGATTGCTCGAAGAGTCAGAGGCACGTGGGGGCACAATTCGAACATGTTCACTTTGGTTTTGTCACTTTTGTGGTACCCCTATTCTAGCCGATCTGCAGTTCCGCTTTATTAGACTTAGAGACACCCTATCAGTGAAACGATTAAACAAAACCTTGTTTCATCTACCCGTATTATTGATCCACATTTTCAACGTCGCATCTTGCGGCTGTGTTGTGTGAACAATCTCTGACACTTACACTAAAAGTCCAGTCTGAGTTGTCAGCAGAATGGCGGACCTATCGGGTTCAACTTCAATAAACTCGTTGCACTAGACTCTTGTGGGGCTCAATGCCACATAGCATTGATAGTCGCCGTTACCTTCTAATCAGGAGCTCTGCATAGCAGAACCAGGATGATGTTTTGCTTCTCGGAGTTCGGAAAGTATAGCCGTGAGCCTCGGTCACCGATCGAGGAAGAAAGAGCCCCCTTGCGTCAGATCCCCGGTAAAGATGCCGATTGTAATGGGACAGTGAGTGGGGGTATATCGTAACTATGATGCAGAGTGTGATAGTTCATCAACACACCGCGCCTATGAGAGTGTTTTGGAAGAGGGGTTCGGTGACAGGCCCACTCAAGTTATGCTGTCTTAGCCGGACTACGTCAACCTGGGTTGGCTTCGGGAACTGTTCCCGGGAAGCATGCAATCCAGGAAGGTGTGATTTGAGATATGGCTAGGAGCCTGCCGTAATAAGTAAGACCACGAATGCAACTCATGCAAGGTGCGGTCACCACCTGCAACAGACCAGTTACAACTTTCAGTCAAACTTTTCAAGCCACATAGATTCGAACATTGACACTATCTTCTATTTTCTCTGCAAACCTCGACAGGCTTCTCTGACGACGGAGAGATTGTACTGCTGAACTCGCCAGTTGTAGAATCTCTCAACATGTTTGGTGTTTCCACGTGCCGTATATTGTAATTGTTCTTCCCTCCACGATTCTCGGACTGGATCTTGCAAGCTAAAAGATCGAAACTGCAACATCTAGGTAAGCCGATGAAGTGGATTCAAGTTGTCAAAAGATCGATGCTCACTATAGAATGACAGGGAAGATACATTCCAAGGTATATACAAATCGGTCGATTTGCCTGGGCGTCGTGGTAGGCGTATTCAATAGAGACGGGTGGAAAGTGTAGGTGATGGACCTAGACACCCCGATCAACGCCAGAGAAGACACCCGTATCTCTGTGCTGCGCATCAAGTGACCCCACAAGCTGATGTTCAGCGCAGCCCGCAACGACCTCTTCTTCGTCGACGCGAATTTCCGGAGCAAGTAGAAGGCGCTCAGACATTCCAGAAGCGCCAGGAGCACGAAGTATCCAACGTGAGTAAAGTCGACAACCTTCGAGGCGGTGTTGTTGGTTTCGTCGTAGATACCCAGGACTCGAGCTATCAAGATCGTGCCGCGAAGAGCGGTGATACCGACAATCAGAATCCAGAAGGCCGTCAGGTAGATTGTCCGACTACGACCCGCCAACATGTGAGTCAACATCGCGTACGAATAGAATGATATGCCGGCTTCTTGGACCTGAATTAGACGTTAATCTTGAACTTCGCGGTCAGGGATCCAGCGGATGAGCGGATGTCGTACTAGCCAAAAAGTATCGGCAAACCCAGACGCGAGCGCCCTATCCAATGGTGAACTATCCGTGTAGAATATTTGAAAGCATAGTCCATTCGCGATGGCACAGGCCATGCTAGTGATGATTGGGACCAGCGCGATGCTTGAGAATTTCGTGATGCTGATGACGATGAGGCCCAGGAACACGTTTGAGATGCCGATAGTGCTCAAAATAGCCCAGCATTGCTCAAAGTAAAGCTCAACCGCCATCTTGACTCATCGCATTTGCTGAATGCTGCTATGAATGATGTTACAGCCAGGTGCAAAGGCTGTGAAGTCGTTGGGAACCCGTTCCTACCTAGTGTATGAAGCGTGAAAAGAAGATCAGATCGGGCCGGAGAGTGTGAACCCAGACCCTTTTGTTGGCTTGACTATATCTCCCGATTAGGGGCACGAGTGACATACAAGTAGGCATTTATTCGGCGTGCACTTCGCATTCAAGGTCGCACAATCGGATCATATCAACGTTAGCTTGAAAGACAACGGCACATTTCGCTAGACTGACAGGGCAAGACAGGGTTTCTTCCGCGGTGATGGAGGATTTTAGTCCCCAGCCCATCATACCAGCTGCTGGCAGCATTGCCCAATCGCTGGCTGGCCCTTCCGTATTGTCTTGCGTGAAGTTGCACAAATCCATTCCGGGGTTCTGGGGGCCGACGTAGGCTAAGATGCGGAGTGAGGCAGGTCAAGTCTTCAAGTGTCTGTATGGGAAAGACGCCACAGAGCGATCGCAGCATTATTTCCCGATCGCCAGTCTGGAGTGGCTTGCTCCCTTACAGATGCGGCACTGCTAGTTCCCCCAGCCCTACTAGTAGGAACCCATACAAAGCGAATAGATAAAAGCCACCCGCTGACGCCGGTACCGTAATCAAAGAATTGCTGCCAAGGCGGTTCGTTTTGGGAAATTTGGGTTGAGGAGATCTACAGACTACAACACAACATCAAGCAGTTACAGAGGCCACTCAACTCTTCATAAACAGACTTGGCAATGCGAGAAGGAGTCATGGGAGTCAAGGGTCTCGCTCTTCAGCGGAACCCGAGCGCCCCGGTCCTTTTTAGCACCCTGGTCTCTTGCCAGGGGAAGCTTGTGCCATCCACTCAGCCCCTGAAGTTAAAATCAAAGCCGTTACATCTACCAGGCGACCAGAGCCTCGGAATCAATGATTCCATCCTGTCGGTGATTGCGCTAAGTGGTGGTCTAGACCTGTACATTTAGCCTTCGTTTTCAGGTCTATTTGGCCTGAGAGACTAGATTTTCCTGTAACACAAGCTGCAAGCGGGTGTCAATGAATTGAGTATCAGTCTTGCAGTCACTTCACTTCACCTTAGGTCAGCCGCCACGACAAGGAGGTTTCCGGATCTGCCGGCCTAGGGCTCAACTCAAGAGAGGTCGCTTTCAGGAATGTGACTCAATTTGAGCATCTCATTTTCCTTGGAATATCTTCAATACTATTCTCAAAATTAGAGAGAGCCAACAAGCCACCAGTGACAACTCACAACTCACAAGCTACAGCTGCTCAGACATTGCAACTTCCTCTTTCTTTGCGCGAAGACTCAAATTTGCCAGTAAATGTGAATTGAGAGTGTAAGTTTACAGGTTTCAAGGGAGCTATGGCTATACGATATTGTTGGTGGCTACATGAACACCATCGATAGTCAAGGGCAAGTAAGGGGCAAGGAGCGACACGCGCACCAAGGCGAGGGGAGCCAGTCAGCCATAAGAGCAGAATCGGAGAGAGATTTGCTGAGATTTGAATAGAAGAAAGACGCAATTGAAAGGCGATTGAGCTTTCTATGTTTTTCCTACAACAATAATCGTCCAAGAAAGAATAGGGTTGGTGAATTGGATCTAGAGTATCTCTCACCGACTGCGTAATAGCCACAGGATAAAGACATTTGTACACATTTATGATCTAGGCCAATCAAACGCTCAGTTCGACCTGAATTCGCTACGTTCTCGGATTTTTTGTGAGAAAATAAACATAAAGGGAAGTTGGAAAAGATAAAGAGATCTTTCAGTAAGCTGTCGCCATTGCGCAATTGGTGGGACAGAAGTATGGGTATGCGTTATTGTGGTAATGAAGTTTCTTTGAATTGTGTATCGCTGTTTCGAAGTCATTTGCGGTGTCTGGGCTGTTTTGAGGCTGGATAGATGATGAGCAGGCTCCTGGCACCAACATGGTGTCCTCATGCTAGAAGGATAACCTGGCTTCTGATTGCCCTAGGTAGGTTGAAAGTACGAATGGGGTTTTAATTCCTCGACTCGCAGACCCGAGACGGAAACAAGGTTCGTCGATATCAAATTCTTAGGGGTAGGATGATGATTTAGTCAAAGATTTTTGTAACAAAAATATCGTTTGGTGTAGCCGGATCGAAAGAAGATATCTTCACGTCGCAAAATGGCATATCGTGGTCCACCCCCACTCTTGTCAGCAGAGTCCCACTTACGACCTAGATAAGCTCCTCCACTTACACCTCAGATACAGGTATAAGTAGTATAAGCATCATTAAACAGGCCTAAGGAAAGGAATCCGGAAAAGTGTATCGACTGCCGAGAACATTCTGTAAATACCTCACGCTTTACTTGCAATTAGTAGGTGGACGAAGATGCTCTGCTACCACTCCAAACCGTTGCTAACTCCCCACAAGTGTCTTCTCCTGAAGTCAAAGCCATCACGTCAGTTCTCCACGCGTACGGGGCTGCTCTCAAGAGCCGCAACGTCGAGGATATCGTCGATCTTTATACGTCCGGTGGTGTCATCATGCCGCCTCACTTCACAGCCGCCGTGGGCACAGACTCACTTCGTGAATCATACACGCGCATCTTCTCGACGGTTCAACTCGTCATCACATTTTCAATAGACGAGATTGTCATCATGTCTCCCGAATGGGCTTTTGCGAGGACAACCGCCGAGGGAACTAAGACGATGCTGGCGACCCAGGCTTCTGAGGAGCACGCGAACCAGGAGCTTTTCATCATGAAGAAGGAAAGTGAGGGGTGGAAGATTGCGAGATATGCTTTTTCGACGATGAAGCCTCTTTTTCAGGATGGCGTACGGAGAAGTTGAGGGTGACTATGCATTCTTGCAATAGGCAACCGAAAAGGTTTGTAGTCCGAGGTCCGGTACCGGGAAACAGAGCTACGAAGAGCAAGATGGCTTCATGGATTAAATACTGTAGACATTTCCTTGACTCAGTCATTTCACTAGTATAGGCTTACACCAGCTGTAATACACCAGCAGAGTTTAGTGAAGTTGTCTTTCCAACCCTGCCCTGAAGACGAGGAGACATGTATGTCGGCATACCCCAGGTCCGCCTGGATCGATGAACTCTCTGGTCCGATCGCCCATGTGATGTATCTTGACAGTCTTGGCTTTGAAGACTCTCTGGACTTGAGGTGCCGGTCGTTAGAAGATCGTCTCCAGCCACTTCTTTCGTTAATACCCAAGCAGGATGGCGATGGTAGGTTCATTCTGTAAGTTCGACATACGAAATTCGACGTCGTAGATTCTGGTTTGAAAAGGAGTCATTCTATTAGTTGCCCTGGTGTATTATCAGGGCAGAAAAGGGCAATCAGAATGCGGTGAGGGCCGTTTGCCACGGCCCCTCCATTCACCTACTTTCTTCCACTTCAGAGGAGCCCTGGAGCCCCGCCCATTTCTTCCTCCAAAGTCGCTAATTGTGCAACTGACTTGAGGGGTGGCCGGCTCTTATTCATTTTATCCTTTAAAAGGCCCGCGAAATCAATTATTAAACCAATTATAAAGAAGATAAGAGTTAAGACAGGATCGAGTCCCGTATCCATTCCTTCTTTCATCTTCTTAAGCATATTATCCGCTGAATAAACGGAGACCAAAGAAGGAAAGAAATAGTAGTAATAACAAGAAGGGCTAATAACGAAAATAAGAAAGGTAAGATTGACGATGATGAAAAAAGTGGCAATAGAGATTTGGAATTCTCAAGCTGTATTTTATTTCCACGCCGTCACCTACTTGCCTATATCCCTCTTTACGTGAGTGCTAAGCTTCTATGAGAGTCATGTTAATCCAGTGCCCGCCGGCGCTGCACTCGACGTGATCAACTCAATTTTGCATCTCAAGTTGAACCGATTGAGAGAGACGTTTCGATAGTTGTTCTTTTGAGTTGCCTGGTCGGTTGGTTGGTTGGGTTGAGTTGCTCAGGGTGAAGCGCTCATATCCACAGTCATTCTGTGTCAGGAGCACATTACCAGAACTTACCACGACTCCCTCTCTATCAAAATCGAAATTCGAGTTCCTTAGGAATGAGATACCGGATTGCATGACAGCCCTTGAGCCCTCTGGCAAAGCAACAACAAGCTAGGTTTGACTGAAGTTCAAGTAGGTTTCGGCTCTAATCTCACCTTCCGATACTAGCTTATTCCGAGCTGCGAGCCATCGGCTCCGAATGATCTGGTTTGCCTCCAGGCTCCAGCTCTACAGTTGGCGTTGACACATGCAAGCCCTCAACGATGAAGAACTTGCCTCATTGACTCACATGCATGTTGAAGAATTATTAATCCAACGGCGCCGACATCGCTCACATTCGCAGGGGTCCATCGTACCGAGTACCGTCGTAAATCTGGAAACCTATCGTGAATTTCAATTGAGAACCCTTAGCGATTCTCACTGTCAGCCTGGGGAGCTAGTCACATGCTGTGGAGCTAGAGAATTCGAGAACCGCTCTTTTATTTCAAATCAAGTCGATGAGATCAACCATTGACGAAAACCGGGGCCGACACGTGTGAGATGGGGCCCGGTCACCGGCGGTGGGAATGGAGATACTGGAGACAGAACGGGTCTGGCAGCTGGGCCGGGGGTGGAAATTTGGGAAGAGAGTGAGTGGATGGGCGACGAGAAACTGGGTCGGTGATGTTTCGCTCGAATCCCGGAATTGCCAAGAGTGTGGGGAAAGGGTTGAAGCTCGGGCGCAGCATTGGCTGACGATGGCCTCAATGGCAATGAGAGTTTTGGGTCGCAGGTCACCCGAGTCCAATGCAGCGAATGCTTGGTAGGATAGACATTTTTTGATCGGCGAACGTAGACTTGACCCCGGACCATGGAAAGTGTCGTGAGCAAAGATATCTTCTTCATACTGCGGTACGGAGTACTGATATCGGAAAACGGCGACCAATGGACGGTTGTGGGTGTGTTACTGGGATATCGTTACCCTGGACACAAAGCCTTGGCCTTGTGCTCTGTGTGTCTGTACACCATCAAGTGATTATAAAGAAGGTCCGAAAACCGGCGATTTTAGCCATGATCGTCACTCAAACAACCCGACGCGGTTTCCTTTGAGGTGTTGTCCGGCGGCTTGGTCTACTTCCTCTTCCACTTAGCGTTGATATTCACAGTGCGTGTGCGTGCCCAGCCGATGTTCTCGACTTTTTCCGCGACTTTTCGGGGTGGGAGGCAGCAGCACAAAGTGGGGTGGGGTGACGTCGTGGACTTTATAAGAAGCTACTCCCCTGGCCGTTTTGTCTGCAGTTGGGTAAATATAGCTGTGGTAGGTAGGTACCGAGGTCCATGTCTTTCTTATGTAAGGTAAGGTAAAATGAGGTGATTCAGTAAGGTAGGCGCGTACATGCACGTACCGCGTAGCATCAGTGGACGGGAACGGGAAGGAAGGAGCTTCGAAAGAGCAGCAAAAACAGCTGAGGAAAAGGCGATTTGCGGGGTTGTCTGGGCCAACCAGGAGACGTCCAATTCAATTCTCCTCACGGAAGGCGTCAAGGACAACTGCAGTCTGCGGGAAAGAACAGACAACAGACGCGATGGAAGTTCCTTCCAGGACCACAGAGCCCCGCTTGGTCGCATAAATGGGGGATAAATGGAGCAAAACGGGGTAAAGCGATGGAGCACAGCCGGGTCGGAGCGAACGGAACACAACAGCGAACGTTCAATTCCGCTGGGTTCCGATGTCACTGTCTAACGCACCTTACCTCAATGCGCCATGTAGTTGTGCTAAGGAAGTGTGCGGAGGGGGTACACCGTGCCACACACTTCACATGGCGGCATGGCTACCCGCTGCTTATCACCTCTGTTTCAATTGGACGCAAGGGTCCTCACCTCACACTCCCGCACTCCATACTGCGTAGTGCGTACACCTTGACCTGCAGCTACAGACAGTCCAAACTCTGCCACATCCCATCTCTGCTCTCTTACATGCTCTTTTGCAGTACTGAACACCTACTGCCTCTTCCCCGGTTCAGAGAGCAAGCGGCAGCTCTCGAATGGGTCGATGGGTCCTCCCCGCACGGCATTTTGAATCGGCCCAAGCTACTGTTCCATGCTGGTCACGCAAGCTCACGGTATTGTTGCATCTTTTACAGACTGTGAAGCTAACGCACCAATGTGGCAATCTCTCCGACCTTTGCTAGGGGCCGCCGACAAACATTTGAATGTCCGCGTCATAGCTACATGAGCCTGTTCTACCCGTTCCCTAACACCGCGATAACTTCCCTCGGCCCCTCACCATGTCCAACTGGCCCGCGCCCCCTTGAGCACATCTCGAATCTCCGAGCCGGTATCGCGGTGCAAAGCCTAGAATTCTTCATGACCAAATTGGCGGGGGTAATGAGACAACAAGACAACGACTAGTCGTTCGTCGGGCGTTCTCGAACAATCAAAGGCCAAAAGACCCTTGAGGAAACATGGCCGTCGCCTCCCATCATTTGTCATTCCGCCCCCGAGCTACCCTGAACGCCTTCCGCCCAAATCTCGAGAACCCCCACCCACACCAACATGACTACGGCATAGTTCCTGCTGTCACACGTTAGTGCAGCATTAATAGGAAAGAGATGGGAGTGCACAGTGGTTCTTACTATGTACTCGGCCCTTGACCACCCACCCCTCAACCGCCAACAAGATTCGGCCCATTGGTCATGCAATGAGTGAGGGGGAGGGGGGGCCATGGCATAAAACGCGGGGTCGCCTCCTTCCACTTGCCGAGGACTCCTGGGAGCGAGCTCTTTCCTTCTTGCCTTTTCTCCTTCTACACAATCCAACGATTGACGGTTCAAAAGAAACATCAATCTCCTACCTACCAGGCAAAACATCGAAGCACATACTAAAGAAACAATCCGTATAATCAGACACCATGGCCGAGGAAAAGTGTCCCTTCATTCGGACCATGAACACCGGAGGTGGCGGCACAAAGAACCGCGACTGGTGGCCCGATTCCCTTAAGCTCAACATCCTCCGCCAGCACACTCCCGTCACCAACCCGTTAGGTGGTGACTTTGACTACGTGTCTGCCTTCAAGACCCTCGACTACGATGGCGTCAAGAAGGACCTCACGGCTCTGATGACCGACTCTCAAGATTGGTGGCCTGCCGATTTTGGCCATTACGGAGGTCTCTTCATTCGTATGGCATGGCACAGCGCCGGTACCTACCGTGTTCATGACGGCCGTGGCGGCGGTGGTGAGGTAAGTTGATCCGGGAAACTAAACGGATCATCATTGGTAGACGAGGTGCTAATTATTGCGCCTTACAGGGTCAGCAACGTTTTGCCCCTCTCAATAGTTGGCCTGACAATGTCAGTCTCGACAAGGCCCGTCGCTTGTTATGGCCCATTAAGCAAAAGTACGGCAACAAGATCTCCTGGGCCGATCTTATGATCTTGGCTGGCAACGTTGCCCTCGAGTCAATGGGCTTCCAGACTGCTGGTTTCTCTGGCGGACGTCCCGACACCTGGGAGGCTGATGAGTCCGTTTACTGGGGCGGCGAGACCACATGGCTTGGCAACGACGTCCGCTACTCCCACGGTCACGAAGGGAAGGCCGAGCCGGGCGTCCTCGACGGCTCTCAGGACACCAAGAGCAAGTCAGACATTCACACCCGCGACCTGGAGTCACCACTTGGTGCCGCCCATATGGGTCTCATTTATGTGAACCCTGAGGGTCCCGACGGCAACCCCGACCCAGTCGCCGCTGCTAGAGACATTCGCGTCACTTTCGGACGCATGGCTATGAATGACGAGGAGACGGTGGCTCTCATCGCTGGTGGTCACACTTTCGGCAAGACCCACGGTGCTGCTCCCGACAGCAA